CACACACACACACACACACACACACACACACACACACACAGGCGGGCTCACAAGTCTTTTTGAGCCGGGGCCCCACAGCGCCGTCTCCACGCCCCCCCGCGCTCCGACTCTCTGCTGGATCTGTGAATAGTTCTGTGCAAACTGTATTTGGCATTCTCAATTCCACAACAGCAGCAAAGATCTGAAGAGTAAAGTCAAACGCCCAGCCTCCCACACACACACACACACACACACAGTTGCAGATGCACCCCCCCCCCCTCCCTTTGGTGTCACCTACACCCCCATTAGGGCTCCTTGAAGTCTGCGGGAGACCTCGAGGTCTCTAAGCTGTTTATCGCCGCGGCGCTCGCAACACGCCGGGGTTTTCTCACCCCTACCGACGCCGTAAATGTGGAGAGGAGGAAGATCTCTGCCGCTTTCTCCCGAGGGCTCTGAAATCAGCCCCGGCTCCTCCACCCAAAAACACAAAGATCCCCGCGCTCGCCGGCGCGTGCACGCGCAGCGCTTTGATCCACAGATGAATGGAGCAAACGCACAGGGAAGTGACAACTTCCAGCAGAGCTGGCCCCCTTTTCTTCCACAGCCCCCACCCCACTCACACACACACACACACACATACTCACACACACACACACACACACGCTAAACCTGCCCCCTCCCCTAAAAGCTGAGGATCTGAGGGAAGACTGAGCGTGTCATGTGAGCTCTCAGCAGGTCAGAGTGGAGCTGGAAGCTCCAGGCTTTAGGGGAGAACAGTGAAGGCCCCCGCTCGCAGAAGTTGTTGGAACACAAGCAGTTTGTTAGAATAAACTTTCGCTAACCCCGTTTTCTTTTCGGCACAATGAGAATCGCGGCGACTGATCTCGGCGTCGGGAAAAAGATCCACACTTTGGATCTCGCTGCTCTCCTTGCTTTTGTTTTTATTTTTTCCTTTCATTCTTGTCTGATTTTTTTTGGCAATGGCTGCCATTCCCATGGTGCACCAGCCCCAGGCACCATCAAACAGCCCCTCTTTTTCTCACTTTTCCTCCCCTTTATCCCGACTACAAAGAGACGCGAGAAGTGAAAAAAAAGGAGAGAAAAAAATCAAGAAAGCCGGTTTGCAGAAATAAAATGCAAATAGTGTCAGATGTGTGCGCACACACACACTTGTACTGTCACAACACCCTAACACAGAGGTGCCCAGTGTGTGACAAGGTGGGGGAATAAATTACCTCAACCTTTTTCATCTCCCACCCTCTTTTCCCACCTTTATCTCCCCCTTTGAATCCTCTCTTTTTCTTCATTTTCTGCAGCGAGCTCACATCTCTGCATCTCAACTTCTCCTATGTCTTATTTTATCCTTCATCCTTTTCCTCCCTGGAGTTTTCTTCCACCCCCTGTTGATATGTGGCTTTTATTTCTAGATGTAAAGCCACTGCTTCCCATCAATCTATCCCTCCATCCCTTCCCTCCGCCGCCCTATTCTCCCCCACTGCGTGTTTGATATTTGGCGAGGAAGCCTTTGAAGTGAGCTGCCTTTAAAGAGGCGTGCTGATGATGACAGAGGAAGCCAGCCGAGGCCTGGCCCAGTATGACCATACAGCCGGCTCGGGGCTCCGTAAAGCAGCCCGCTGGACCTGGGTGCTGGTTTAGAGACCCCCCGGTCGTCGCCGCTGTTTGTGGGGAGACGGAGCCTCTTTCCTGGGACGGGAAGGGCTGCTGGAGTTGTGTGAGGTTTGCTTTGAGATGGCGCGGCTGCTAACCACCTCTTTCCTCTCCCAGCGTACGCAGTGCCCTCCTAAGGAGATGGTCCCCATGAAGCCGGCCGAGTTTGCCGCCCAGCTGATTTCCCGCCTGGAGAACCTGAAAAGGGAGCAGGACACCCTCAGCTCTCTGGAGGAGAGGCTGCAGCAGATCCAGGAGGTCAGTTTCAGACGGATCCCGGCCGGCCGGACCTGTCAGACACGCTGTTTCCACCATTTGATGACTGTTTGTCTCCATCAGGAGGAGGAAAGAGAGGATGCTGACGTCAGTGGAAGTCTTCCCCAGCCCTCCCCCCATCCGTTGACCCTCCTCCCCGGTTCCTCGGACGAGGATCCTCAGGCCATTCTGGACAAACACCTGTCCCGGGTCTTGAAGACCCCCGGGTGCCAGTCCCCCAACGTCGTCCAGCACTCGCCCCGCTCCATCTCTCCCGAGCACCGGCCGCTCGCCTGCCCGGGCTTTGGAATCAGAGCCTCGGCAAGGACCGGCCCCTCCTGTTCGTCGGCCTTGAGCCCTGACGAGGGGGCCCCGGGCCCCGGCCGGACCCTGGTGGGCCGGCCCAGCACCAAGCACATCCACCACCACTACATCCACCACCACGCCAGCCCCAAGTCCAAAGAGCAGATCGAGAGGGAGGCGGCCCTGCGGGTGCACGGCGTGCTGGCCGGCGGCGAGTGCCCGCCCTGCACGCCGTACCCGCGCAGCCGCAGCCTGGGCCGGGAGATGTGCGGCGCCGCCTCCACCGACAGCAGCGCCGGGTGGGTCCCACACACCCGCTCCAGCCCCGGCCCCCTTTCTCCTCCCTTTTCCCAACTAAATGGGACTAACGCTGGTTTTTCTCTCTCTCTCTCTCTCTCCCCACAGGCGCTCCAGCTCTCTCTCCCGGCGCGTGTGTCGCTCCGGGGCTGAAGACGGCGTGGCCGACAGGTGCGTGGAGGACGGCGGGCCCCTGCAGCTGCCCAGCGACACGGCGGACCCCGCCCAGAACGTGCTGCAGTGGATCCTGGACAGCAAACGGCAGGGCCGCCACAAGTCTCACAGGTGGGCAGCGGCCGGCCGGGCAACATGGCGCGCAGACTAGGGATGTCCCGATCCAGCTTTTTGCACTTCCCATCCGATACCGGCCCATACCAATACCGGCCTATCCGGGCATGTATTAAAGTTTAAAGTTCTTTAGCCTACTTACTTAGTTGTCAGACTCATGTTGAACAGGCATTTACTCTTATAAAAACTTAATGGTTAGGACACAGACCTGTGGGTTAGGAGATGCTAATGCTCTTGTGGGATTGGATTTAAAAAACAAAACTGGATTGGGAGTCTGGATCGGCAATTTCTCATATTTTTTGCAAATATCGGCATCCGATCCAAATATCGGGAATGGTGCGACGCCCCCTCTGGCGGACGTCCCCCCGGTCATCGCTTTTGCTGACGTGCGCCTCCTGTTTTTCCCTCGCAGCGCCCAGAGCACCAAGAAGTCCTTCGGGGGTCCGTCCGCCCAGACGCACATGTGGGGCGGCGGCGGAAACTGCGCCCACCTGCGAGGCCACCAGCCCGCCCAGCCCTTCATCCAGGATCCCGCCATGCCCCCCCTGCCCCCGCCCAACACGCTGGCCCAGCTGGAGGAGGCCTGCCGCAGGCTGGAGGAGGTGTCCACCAAACCCGCCAAACAGAGGTAGAGAGGGAGGGGCCGGTCCGGCGGCCGGACGCCCCGCGGGGCCCTCCGGCAGCATCCCGTCTCATTCCCCTTCTCTCCCCAGGCACTCGCCGTCCGGTCTGCAGCGGGAAAAGACTCACCCGGCGTCTGTCCAGGGCGGGGGAAGCGTCCCGGCCGGCCCCGCCACGCCCAGCCCCGGCCTCCAATCAGAAGAGTACGATGCCTCTAGCGTCCTGCCCTCCCTCTCCCCTCCTCTTTGCTCCTCTTCCTCCTCCTCCTCTCAGCAATAGGCTCCAACTTCCAGTGTACTTGGACCCTTTTAACTCCTTCTGCTTGTCACCCGCACCGCTCAGCGCACGTGCACAGAGGGCCGCCGCCGGCCGCCGCATGCAAAGCCCCGTTTCCCACACGCACTCCCCTCTTTTCTTTTTAGCAGAGTTCATTTCAGGCTTTGCACCCGGGCTGCCTCTGTGCTTGCATGAACTGTGCGTATCTGTGTGTGTGTGTGTGTGTGGAGTGTGTCGTCCCCGTACCACCTGACTTTTGCCGCCTCCCTCTCATACGCGCATGCATGGTTTTTACTGGCGGCCCTTCAGTGGAGCTGCCGGTCGGCCGGGGGCGGGCAGAGCTCGGCGCCGAGCGAGCTCCTCTGAAGTCCGCCTACAAAGCCCTGGACAGGGCTGAAGGGGAATTGATAACTCTGCCCCCTTCTTTATGCGCGCGTGAGCACACACTGACTGATGGCAGCGGGTCACGCACCGGCGGGGAGCGAGTGGCTTTAGTTCCAGTCGAGCTCTGTCCTCTCCGCCCATGCCACTACGGCATGATTCCCCCGATGCTTTGCTCTGCTTCCTATTCCCCTTTTGAATCGGCTCGTTAAGTGTCGTGAGTTCCCCCCCGCATCCTCTGACAGCCTCCCTCTGCCTCCTTACAGGTTTAAGAAGGCCGCTGGGAGCCCCGCCGGGTGCGGCGGCGAGACCGTGGTCACCTATTTCTTCTGCGGGGAGGAGATCCCCTACCGGAGGACCATGAAGAGCCACAGTCTCACCCTGGGCCACTTCAAAGAGCAGCTCCGCAAGAAGGGCAACTACAGGTGTGTGTGAAGGCCCGTGCTGCCCGGACAGACACGCAGAAGCACGGGGGGGGGGGGCTGAAACGCCGCCTCCCTATTTGAGCCGAGCGTTTGGTTCCCAGTGAGGCCGCGTTGAACGTGCCGAGGAGAGGGAAGGGGACAAGAGGGAGGGTGGTGCAGGGGTTAGTGGGAGAGTCTGAACTGCAGCGATTTGGGTCCCATCTGGTATTGATTTCCATGCTAAGGCACACTTAATACACACGGCTTTGAAGCCCCAGCCTCTTTCATTTCAACCAACAAAGACTCACACAAATGGCCAGTGTGCAAATTCTTCACTGATGCTATCAGGCCCCTTTTTTTCTCTCTCTTTTTCTCTCTCGCTGGTGTGTGTATGTGTGTGTGTTGAATGCGCACAGTGTTTACACATGTTGTAATCATTTTATGGATATTTTTGAAAGGCAGATTGTTAAATGCCAGATCCGCTCACTTGCCCCGCTACAGGGCCCTGACTTCACGCCGCCCAGCTCCTATGTGTGTTTGCAGAGAGATTTTTGACCCTGATTGCACCTATCCAGGAGAAAAGATCAAACGGTTATTGTTCAGGCTGCCCCCGCCTCCCGGATAAGTGCGGCTGGAGGATCGTGTTAATAATTACAGGTATCAAACCGGAGGAGAGGAAAAGCAAAGGAACTTGGACAAAGCTCGTCCTGTCCAGATGCGCACATATTTGGATCAACAAATGTGACAGGCACTTAGCTCTGGGCTCTCCACATCTGTCCGTGTGCCCCCTCCCCCCCACCCCTCCACTCCTCATCTTTTTCTCTCTGGCTCACTGTCTAAGTTCCTGTTTCATACCATCCACTTTTTTGTTTTTTTCTTTTTGGAAGGAGAGCCGCACGGCGCTTTAATAGCAGCCAGAGAATGTGTGGAGTTGGGTCATTTCAACATGGCAGCGGTTCAACAAAGAACAGTACTGCTTGGCCCTGCCAGATGATATTGGTGCCAGATGTCAGTGCAAAAGGAGAGAGAAGGAGAGAGAAGGAGAGAGAAGGGGAGAGAAGGGGGGAGGCAGATCCAGCCACATAAAACATGTTCCAGTGGAAATACAGGCTCTCAGTCTCTGTCTCTCTCAGCAAAAAACATCACAGCTCTTTGAAGCTTTTTTTTTTTTCTTTAAGAGTAGGAGGACTGGACATTCTTCTTTCCTTTTTTTCATCTGGTTGAGATGAAGAGAGAGAAAGCGTTTATCAGACAACTTTCATTCCGTCCTCTTTACTCAACTTTATCATATTCGTTCGCTGTGTTTCCCTGAGAGGCCTCATTTAGTTGAAGTCTTCCTGTATTTAAGCCGGGCTGCTTTTTTACTGGGGGCCACCCTCCTGCTAATCGGCACATGTGCATTCAGGAAGTCCTCTAGCTATTCCTCCTTCTTCTTTTCTGAGTTTTCTACTTCGTGTTCAACTTTGTCAGTGTACAAAAAGTGAAAAACGAGGAGGGAAAACGCTCACAAACAAACATACCTGCATTCCTGCCCCCCCCTGAATCCAGAGCGGGGCTTTTTTCCATTACACAGTTAATGAGTGGATTCCCAGCTCCCGCTAACCAACCCACCCCTGCTGCTCTCTCTTCCTCCTAAATGAGGAGTGTGTTTGGTGAAGGAGGGGGTGACATCATTAGGCCCCAGTGAGGTCATGGCTGAGGAGAAGCCCCTCCTCACTTCTCCCCTCCTCAGCACGCACGGAGCTGGCTGTCAGCTGACCTCCCCGTAGCCCCCCTCCTGCAGCAGGGCTGGGGGGGGGGGGGGGGGGGGGGGGGGGGGTTGGGCCGCGGCTCTCTTCCCCTCCCCCTCCACTTTGTTCTTTTCTTTGTCCTGTGATAATGATCTAGAGTTTAGGAAAGCTCCGTCCTCTATCGTGTGTGTGTGTGTGTGTGTGTGTGTGTGTGTGTGGGAGGGAGTCGGGCGGTAATGACAGACAGACTTACAGGCACCCGAAATTTTAGCCTGTGTCAGAGGACCCCCTCATTTGCCACACAGGTCTAATTGAGCGACGTCGGGCAGAAATGAGGGGGAACAAATGAGGGAGAGTTTCCTGTTCGTCATCTCGTAGCGTCGATATCTGAGTAATTACTCTCCTTTGTCTCTGTTTCTGGGCAGGTACTATTTCAAGAAAGCCAGCGACGAGTTTGAGTGCGGCGCGGTGTTCGAGGAGGTGCTGGACGACGGCTCCCTGCTGCCCACCTACGAGGGCAAGATCCTGGGGAAGGTGGAGAGGATGGACTGACCTCGCCTCCCGGCTGTGTGGACGTTCTCTGTTGAAGCTTCAGACTATTGGACTGTAGACGCTGTTCAGAGAGAGCCGGGGATGCACGAGAGACACTAAAGGAAAAAGAAAGCAGGACACGAGACTGGACTGTGAAGTGGCCGGCCGCTCTGAGGTGAAACTGGACTCCAACCTCTCCAGTATAGAAATGTCCAGAGACTCTAGGTGAATGACCACTTGTGGGAAGCAGTGGGGACGGTGGCTTAGCTGTGAGACTGAGAGCCCCCCCCCCCACACCAGCAGGATGTATATGCAGATACACATGTACATTGCATTGTATTGTGATGCTCGTATTGCTGTGTAAAGATTTCTATTGCTATTTATTGGAAATATCCCCGCCCCGACTCCTATTCCGCCTCCCATGGACACGCTGCTCGGAGTTGGAGGAACTTCTCCAATGTTCCACAAACAGGATTTCTCCCTTCAGAGCTCCAGTCGGCGAGCAGAAAACAAATGGTTTTATTCCCTTTCAGCCCCTCATATGGAACCGTCAGAAATACCTCTGTAACAGCTGGTCTCTTTGCTGGATACTGTACTGCTGACGCTGGGATACGGCCTCTCTCATGTCGATCGTATATTTACTACTGCAGTGCTATTTGTGGAAAGGTTCCCATCTGCTCTGAAGGGCCCTGAGTGCGCTATGAAAAGTGAGCAAAAAAAAAACGCTATTAATGTTTAATTCCCTACTCTGGGACTCTGCCCAGCTAGCCTTGATCAGTCACATCTTAGTGCCTTTGTTTCCATGGCGCAGGCATCGCACAAAACGCCTTCATGTGCACTAAGGAAACTGCCCTGGACAGGTCCTCGAGTCCCCAAAATGTGTTTACACCAATATTATTATTTACCAACAAAAAGCTCTATATAATGCTCCCCAATGTGCTTACCTTTGTAAGTGTGTGTTAGTGTGTGAGTGCGTGTGTGTGTGTGTGAGGGAGAGTGTGAGACAAAGTGGGTTACTCTGTGTGCGTCTGAGTCCTGCAGGATGCGCTGCGGGGGGGAAGGATGGCGGTGGCGGTCAGCCGCTGTGCCTACATGGGTTCTTGCCATGTTTCACCCAGTTTTCAGGGTCTTATTAATCCCCTGGTTTTCACAGGGGGCCTTATGTTGAAAAGATATTTTTTATGCCTTTTAGTATCCGTTTCATCATGTTTTATGATATTTTCATGGCTTCCTCAGCTCCACATGTAAACTGTAAATTATGCGTTCCATAGAGCTCAGTTGAAAAGATGCCTCGGTACTTTAATTATTATAATTATGAAGAGATGTAGCCTTTATTAAAATGCTCTATTTTTCAAATTAGAAAATGACTTGTGTTTTGTCTGTTTTGGTTGATTTTTCTGCCTGTAATTGGGGTTTTATATTTATTTATATATATATACACATACATTTCTATGTATTTTAATGTGTGAATGTGCAAAAGATTTCCAACACACACCCTACTGAGCAGAGTGTAACGGGCTGGGTCCTGTGAGAAATTTCCAACAGATTTGCATCCATTATCAGCTTTTAATGTGCTCCCTGTTGGAAATTAAAACATGCAGCATTAATTTGGCCACTAGAGCCTCTGTGTGTTTTATGGTAAATGGGAGGGAGAGATAAGTGCGTGTTAATGAGACATTTTGCAAACATACAGCGTGTCATGAGAACGTTTTGCCGGGCTACTTCCATGGTGAAGCGTTTGCCCCCCCGTGGCACTCTGGTGAAGGGAACGCAGCGTCTCCCGCCGGCCGTTTTTTTGCGGAGAGGTGTGGGCTGATTCTCCAAAAACGGGAAAGAGATGGTGATTCAGATCCAACCATTAAGGGAAGATTTCATGAGAGCAGATAAAGGCCGACTGTTTGTCCCCCTGGAGAGGAAAAAAGCCAAGTGTGCATAAAGTAATTACATCCCAATTTATTTAAGTGTTTATGTACAGAAAACCTTAAAAAGATTTTTCCCAAATATTTCTCAAACCAGAACACTGATTAATATTTGATTGGAGGGACCACTACACAGCCATTGGCTATAGAAAAAAACACCTCGTTTCAAAATACTGGCTCGTTCTACCTTTTTACTGGAGCCACTGAGGCTCCAGCAGCAGCAGCGTCCATCAGAGCTCCCCCTGACCCCGCCGCTGTGAGGGGCTCTGGGAGGAAAAAGAACTCACGTGAACTCATCTAAACGGCCGCCGGCGTCTGGGTCTGCGTGCTGCTATCTTCACACGGCCGGGACGCGGTCGGTCGGTCGGTCGGTCGGGTCCTCCGCTTTCAACTCTCATTGGTTTGGAGTTTTTGCTTACGCTGCCTTTCATATTGAAAGGGCATCGCGATATTGTTAAAATACCATTTTGGGCCCTTTCATCAGCAAAGGTCAGTGCATACACTTGAAGGCCAGCCTTTGGAACTAAGAGGCTCTCACTCAGCGCCGTCAGAGGGCCTTGTGAACCCGGCTTTGTGCAGAGAGCTATTTTAGATGGGGGGGTCATCTTTCTGAAGAATGCACGGGTTAGGGCCACCATTCACTCAGGTGAGGGCTTTCAAAAGGCAGCCCAGTGGTCAGATATGAGGGCGTTCTGAAGGTTTGATGCTGCGGTCTGCAGCACCAGCAGATTATCTCTGCATGCTAAAATGATCTCAGTCTTTTCAAAGAGCACCGTTAAGGCATGCGGAGCTTACTGACAAAGCATCGGTTGTAAAGCGGCTAAGGTTGGTCACTTAACTGATTTTTACGGGACCAGATAACAGGCAAACCGTTTGAACATTCACAGCAAAAATTCCTTTCGTCGTGGCTTTTTTCTTTTTTTTTTTTTTTTGTAGCAAAGGGGCCACGTCTCAATTTCATCAAGCATTCTTGGTTGTGAAATGATAAATAAATTAAATCACTTGACCAAGTTCAAGTCCGGTGACTTGATTTGATTAGGTCATTATTTCATCTGGCGTAGCATTTTATTGTTTTTTGTTAAAGTGCCCGGTTTTACACGCCGAGCACATATCTGACAGCTCACTTCCATTTCAGAGGAGGCGTTTGAAGGCATTTGATCCCCCGAAGACGACATGTGACTGCAGACCGCATTAAGCCTGTTTATCCACCTTTGAAGTTTAAAGGCTTTACTACCAGAAGTTCTTAAACTATCTCTGGATACAGAGATCCTGCTCCTCTGCAGGAGCCCCATGCTTTCTCCTGTAAAGACCAAGCTAACATAAAGGATCAACCAAAAACCAAAAAAGGGAGATGTTGCGTCAGGATCCAGCTTTTTTTTTTTTTTCAAATCTGGGCCTGCTGTGTCTGGACATCAACATTGCCACGCTGTAATTCCTCATTCGACTATCCGTTCTTCTCGCTGGACAATGAGCGCTGACAGCCTCCTGAGCCTCCGACTGCCCACTCGCTTAAGAAATCAGCTGCGAGCCGTAATGAATTGGCACGGTCTGGTGCCAGACGGCCTACCCCCACCCCCCCGATGTCCACATCTCTGTTTGCTATTGTTTCCCCGCTGATGATGTCCACGGCCCGCTACCTGTCCCTCCCACACCGTGTGAGATCAAAGGCTCTGAAACCCAAACAGGAAATGGAAGCGGGCTCTCCCAGATGTGCGGCCATTTGTGGGCCGCTGGTCTTTGGCCTCTGTGTACAGTCCACACTGTTCCCGTCACTCCCCGATTTTTGCTTCATGATGCAAATGTCTTTAAGATAGAGACGAGAAATCCTTTTGGAACGAATGCAGAGAGAAACATGAAAGAGGTTTGAGTGTGTGTTATCGTCCAGCCAGAAAACAGCTGAGCGTTGGAGGCCCTGGGAAAAAACTTCACTCACCGTCTGTCACCACAAACCTCAGTTTCACTTAAATGCTCTCAAGCTATCCCACCGTGGATGAGTACAAGAAAGCGAGACCCCCCAATTTTGGGTCCAGAACCCCTTCATTTGGAACCTGGATAAGCCACGCGAGTTGTTCCACACAGGGCCTCGACCCAGACAACCATGGGACTGTGGTCTACCAGGGGCCCTCCGCTGGATCACGGTCAGGCGCCACTGAGGAAGCTGATCCCCGCTCCGTGTGACCAATCATGTGATGTTATACAGCTCACCGCTGCACCCCGGCCAATGAAAAGCTCCGGTGCATGTCCCCATGAACGAGAACCTCGTCGTGAAAACATATTAACAGTGTTATTGTTGGAGCTTAAAGCAAGGCACAGAACACAGACCAACATGCTCTATAAAAAAAAGAGTGTGTTGATTATAAAAAAGAAGACGGAAATGTTAGAGTATCCGATGTCTCCGGGCTTGCAATAATACATTGTATTGCTGCTGTTTTCAGGAGACAAGCAGCCTGTAACTTAATGCCCAACATATGTGAGCAAAACACTCAAGGCTGCAACATCTCTTCCAAGGAGAATTATTTTTTTCTGAACTGTACTGCCAGATAAAAAAAAAAACAATCACGATCTTTCCCTCCCCAATCACAAAGCGAGATTAGGAGGAGATTGGGTATCTCACAAATGCTTTGGGAAATGAAGAAGACCGGGGTTTGAGGGCCAGAAACCCCCCCCCCCCCCCCTCTGCAGAGCGGCCCGCGCGGCGCGCTGAGGATGTGGGCTGGGATAGGACACCGGGCCTCGCCGGGGAATTCTGCGTCCACCCTCCTCACAACCGGAGGAAAAGCATCTTTTGTGAAGGGGAAGGGAGCGCCATTGTTCCCCTTTGTTGTTTACTCTGGTGTTAGATTTCGCCGTGTGCGGAGGGCAGCCCCACCGGGCCACAGCGCAGGCTTTGTTCCGGGCCTGAGCGGGAGCGCCGGCCGCCACTCACCGTCTCCCCCCCGACTGTCGCCACCGTCCCTCCAACGGCTTTGATTTTCAACTCCTCATCTCAGAGCTCCAGATTGTTGCCCCATGTTCCTGCCTCCTGCACCATTGTTTCAGAGTCTCCTCTCTCAAGTATGGCTTTTCTCCGACGCATGTGCGTGTTTGTCTGTGTGTGCGTTG